GCCAGGGGCGGGCGGCCGGCGGACCAGGCCGGGGGAGGGGCGCCGAGGACGCCGGCGCTGAGGTAAAGGGGCCGCTGACGCTGCAGCCAGAGCCTGGAGGCCGAAGGAGAGGAGGGGGCGGCCACGAGATCGCGCGCCGGACTCTCGCGAGAGCAAACGAGCGCCGCGAGCTGCGACGGACCCCACCCCTCCGGCGCGGGGGGTGCGCAGGCGTTCGACCCCGCCTCCCCAGAGACAAAGGGGCGGGGAACGGCTTAAGGTGGTGCTCCGTAGCCCTGTGCGCGTGCGCATGCGCGTGCGCCTGGGGGCGGGGCGGAGGTTGTGCGCGCGAACAGGCAGGCGGGCGGGCCGGGGAGGGGAGGGAGCTTGCCAGTGACAGGCGGGGGCGGGGGCAGCCGAGAAAAATCCACCACGCGTGAGAGCGCCTCCCAGGCTCAATTTAGACTTTCTGCTTTTGGTACTGGAGATCCAACCCATAGCCTTTGCACTGTGTTACATCCCCAGCCCCTTTTTATTTTCAGACAGGATCTCGCTGAGTCGCTAAGATGCCCAGGCTGGGCTAGAACTCTTGATCCTCCTGCTTCAGCGTCCCAGAGCGCTGGAATGACAGGTGTGCGCCCCGTCTGGATTTACTCTCTTTGACAAATGCGGATGCACACACGCACCATCACCTTAGGATATCGGTTACTCTTGTTCTGACATGAAAGAGAGGTGACTTTAGAACATTTAAGATTTTTAATTTATTTTAATTGCGGTAAATTACATATAATTATTGTGTTCATGCTAAATATTTGTATTGCAAATTAACAAAATTTTAACACATACGTATATACATATATAGTACTTATATAGTGCAGGGGGATTAAGTACATTTTCAGGGTTGTGCCGCAGTCATTACCATCGATTTCCAGAACTTTCTCATCATCCCCAAATGAAACTATCCTCACCAAATACTAACTCCCCATGCCCCTCCCCAGACCATGATGCTCTATTCTACTTTAATTTTTTTTCTTCTTTTTTTAGACAAGGTCTCACTATATAGTTCAGGCTGGCCTTAAACTCACTATGTACCACAGGTTGGCCTCAAACTGGTGGCAATCCTCCTGTCTCAGCCTCCCGAATGCAGATATGTATCTCTGTACCCGGCTCCCCACTCCCCAAGTAGTCACTAAGTTTATTATTTTATCAGTTTGCAGAGCACTTTATGGCCGAGTCTGGGTACACAGTAGAAGCTGGTAATGTAGCTGGGTGGTGGGCACTTGCCTAACACCCATGGGAGCCTGGGATCCATCCCCAGCACTGAAAAATAAAGATACATAAAATACACATATTATGCATAACTGCAAAATACAGCTGTTCTCTAAGAAGTGCAAGGTTGCAGGTACAGCTGTGCTCTGGGGAAAAGTGTAGACAGGTGGATTTTCTCACTGTGGTGCTTTACAGTTTGTACCTGTCCTTGGTCCCCACCCCAAAGGGAGTGTCAGGGGACACTCACCTGGCCTCAGAGACAGCCTTACCCTTTTCTAACTCAGGGTGTGTTCCTGATTTCTTCCTTCCCGCCCACATTTCATTTGATTTTTACTTGGCTCTACGTAACCTTTTTTTATTGAGCTATAACTCATGTGATAACTACACTGTTCTCGAATGTGCAATTCCCTGGGCTTTGACGGTTATCTACACCTGCAAAACTATTTCTTTTCCCAAAGAAAGTTTGCTTGGTATCTTTTTAGTTAATCCTCCCCTCTGCCTCCCTCTAGCCAGCAACTGTGTGTTGGTAAATGTTTAACAATGAGATTTTTAAAAAGAGAGAAAGCTGGGTGTGGTAATCCACACCTGTAATCACAGCACTTAGGAGGCTGAGGCAGGAGGATTGCTGGGAGTTCAAGGCCAGCCTGGGCTGCATCCTGAATTCAAGGCCAGCATGAACTACTAGTGAGACTGTCTCAAATGAGAGAGAGAGAAAGAGGAGGAGAGAGAGAGAGAGGAAGAGAAGAGGAGGCCCGCCGATTTACAGCATTTGCTGATCTCTGTGGTATAAATACCCCACTTCGCACTTCAGCAGATTTTTAGCAGCTATGAACTTGGGGATGAGCAGTAACTGCGAGCACTTGTATAAACTGTACCCTGTTACTGCAGACATCTGCCTACATTGTTTATTTTTATTTCTAGCCCCACACAGTACTTTTTTGATGTGTGTGTGGTACTGGAGAGAGAGCCCAGGCTTTTGCACTGAGCTACATCCCCAGCCCTTTTTTATTTTGAGACAGGGTCTTGGTAAGTCATCTAGGCTGGGCTTGAGATCCTCCTGCCTCAGCCTCCTGAGTACCTGAGATTACAGGTGTGCACCATTGTGCCTGGCTACTGGGATGGTTTTGGACCTAGAATAGAATGGTGGACTGGTCATGAATGTTTGTTATTGTTTTGAGACAGGGTCTTGGGTTCAGGCTGGCCCTGAACTCACTATGTAGCCCAAGTTGAGCTCAAACTTATGGTGACCCTCCTGCCTCAGCCTCCCAAGTGCTGGGATTACAGGTGTGCGCCACCACGCTCTATCAGTCATGAGCGTTTTGAGGACAAGGAAGATGGTGGCATTGTCTCCCTCTCTCTCAGTCCAGCTCTGTGGATGTGACAGATGCTGGCTCCATATCTGGTACCTGGAGGAACGGACAGGGTGTCCTTGTACCCTGTGAGACAGAGCAGGTCACCTGACTCAGTGCTGATTATCAGTGGGGAACTTTTATTGTAGGGGTCACAGGGCAGACGCACACCCCACCTTCTCTATCTTCACCACACAGCATGTTTGCTCTGCGACCTCCCCCGCCGTTTAGCCCACGACTTATCATTGTCCCCAGGGACCTTTTTCTCAGTACATCTGTTCCCGTTCCCAATACTTGGGTGTCAACTAAATATCTAATTGCTTCCTTGATAGCTTCAATCCAAGGTGACCTTTATCTCCCTTAGGCACAGCTCCTGTCATGTTGCAGGCGTGTGTTCTTCCTATCTGGAAGGAGAACTTTATCTCTCTCACCTGGACAACAGGGTAACTGACAGAACGGATGACCAGGCCACTTTGCTTTTTTATTTACTTAGGTTTTTTGGAGACAAGGTCTTGCTATGTAATTTAGACTGGATTTGAACTCACTATGTAGCCCAGGTTGGCCTCCAACTCAGGCAGATTCTCCTGCCTCAGCCTCCTGAGTGCTGGGATTGCAGGTGTGCGCCAACATGCCCAGCCTGACTGGGCCACTTTAGAAAACCAGGTAGAACGAGTTAGTCCTGTCTTCAGTGCCCAGCAACCTGGCAAGAGAGGTCCTAGTTTACCAACCCAGGGAACCTCATTCCTGGTACACACAGGAGGTGCATTGAATAATATCCTTTGTTTATACATTTGGAAATCACACACAGAGCCATTGATGGGGGAATAGAAAATATTTTCTAGAGCAGTCCCATAAAGAAGGATTACAATGTACAGCTAGCTGTGATCCTAGAGCTCTGGGAGCCTAAGGCAGGAGGATCTCAAGTTTGAGCCCAAACTGGGTAACTTGTTGAGTCCCTATCTCAAAAGAAAATGAAAATAAAAAGGTTTAGGGTTACAGCTGGGCATAGTGGCGCATGCCTGTAATCCCAGCACTGGGGAGGCTGAGGCAGGAGGATCACTGTGAATTTGAGGCCAGCCTTGACTACAGAGTGAGACCCTGTCTCAAAAAAAGAGGGGGATCAAAATTTCTGTTTTGAAATGTCCTGTGGTTACGTAGGGTGTGCCGCTGAGGGAAGCTGGGTAAGGGTACAGAGGACACTCTGCTATGTTTGCAATTTTTATGGGAGCCAAAAATTATTCCAAATTTTCAAAAAGGATAATGTGGTGGTTCTTAAGAAATTAAAAATAAAATTGCCACATGACCCAGGAATTCTGGTTATTTGCCTAGAAGAATTGAAAGTCACCAGGTTTGGTGGCCTATGCCTGTCATTCCAGCATTTGGGAGGCTGAAGCAGGAGGATCACAAATTTGAGCCCAGCTTGGGCAATTTAGTGAGACCCTGTCTCCAAATAAGAAATAAGTAAAAAGGGCTAGAAATGTAATGTAGCTCAGTGTGAAGGCCTTGGGTTCAATCCCCAGTACCAAAAGAGAAAGACAGAGACAGAGAGATAGAGAGAAAGATTGCCGCTAGTTCAAGGCCAGGGCCAGCCTGTGAGACATAGTGAGTTCAAGGCCAACCTGAACAATGTAGTGAGGCCCCAATTAAAAAGAAAAAAAAAAAAAAAAAGATAAAATAGAAATTTTATGTCATATATGTTTTCATAATTTAAAAAAAAATTAATTTTTTTATAAAAGGAAATCTAAGCCTTTTGTGTAGGGGCATGAAAACATGATAAAATAACTTTTTTTCCCATTACTAGGTATGGAACCCACAGCTTTTGCATGAAGCTACAAACCCATCTTCTTTTTAAATTTTGACACGGTGTCACTAAGTTGCTAAGTTGTGCAGGCTGGGCTCTAATTTGCAATCTTCCTGCCTCAGCCTCCCAGAGGGCTGGGATGACAGGCGTGGGCCTCCAGCAAAATGACTTTTCTTAAGCCTCTGGGTCCCTTGAAGGCCAGGATCTTGTCCAGCTCTGTGTCTGCAGTGGCCGAGCGTCTGACACGCAGCACGTGTGCGGGGAGCGCAGATGCGAACCAGGAAGGAAGCTGCAGGGCCCACGCAGCCGGGCAGCTCCGCGAGTGCGTAGTGGGGGGTCCGGGCTCACCCGCACCTCCAGTCACTGGCTGTTTTCATCTCCAGTCCAGGGGTCCCTGATTAAACATCCTTTTGTTGTTGTTGTTGTTGTTGTTTTTGGTACCTGGAATCGAACTCAGGACCTTGCACTTGCCAGGCAAGAGCTAATGCCGCTGAGCTACATCCCTGGTCCCTTGTTGTTCTTGAGATAGGGTCTCAATATGAGGTTCAGTCTGGCCTTGAACCTCCTACCTCAGGTTCCAGAGTGCTGGGATGACTGGCATGGGCCACCATGCCCGGCCTGATTCTACACTTCATCCAGGTCAGAGCTCCAGCAAGCGAGCTCAGCTTCCTCCCTCCCCTGCAAGTGATTAAATGGCTCAGACCAGGACACCATGTTCCAGACAATAACCAGGACACTGAGGACCTCGGCCCAGCTGTGCTGCCAGCAGCTGCTTCTGGCAGGCCAGAGCCCATGGTTAAAACTTCAGGAATCCTTGTTAAGAGCTGTTATAAAAAAAAAAAA